AATAATGCTTTGGAGTTAAAATATAACATGTCAAATACTTATTGTGATCCATGCCACGAGGCCCCACCCACAAGCTGTGACGTTGAGTACAAGCATTTTTTATTTATCCAGCTTATTTGATTTTTTTTAGACCAGAAGTTATTACCTGTGAATGTGCCATACATCTATTTAATTAGCAGATATGTGTAAATGATAAGAATAAAAAAAGTGTAGTAAACATAACTATTTTCACGGCAAAGGAATGTTACGAAAATGCACCACCTCTTACATTAAAAATACGGTCAACAGTGAAATAGTATGGCAAACAGTGATGTTACTTTGGACAATCTCATTATGTTTTTTATTTTATTTTCTGTGCTGAATTTTTTTTTCAGTTGAACGTTCTATTTTTGTCATGAACTTGTAAATTTGGTGTGCTGAAGCAAGTCCAAATTAAAAGTAGCATATAGCCTATATTTTTGGCATATATTTTTTTATCTTAAATCAACATTGGAGTGTGTGATACTTTGATTGCACCAATTATTGTGTGCGAATACATCAACGCTGACTCTACGGCCACATTAAAAATCAGTGGATTCACACAGCTTGATGCGGCTCCTATGTAGAGAAAAATCGTTGTAGATGGGGAAATGTAACTATAATTGTCTCATAACGCCGTGAGGGGGCCCTCTGTGCTGCAGGGGTGTCCCGTGCACCTGTGGTAAAGGATAGGAACATTTACCTCAAGGTCAGTGGCCTTCTCACAGCATGTTGCTATGTTACTTTTAGATAAAGGTGGCAAGTTGACACCATAGTTTGTTTGTCCTGAATATTTGCAGGAACTTCTTTTTAAATATGTTTACTCTGAAATTAGGCCCGCTCCCTCACTCACTGTTCCCCCCCTTCCAGCCTCTCAAAAGTCTCCCAGGATACAGACACCATTTAAGGGTTAAGCTTGGCTAATTAATGAGAAATAAAATCGGTCTACAGGCTGCTGGGGATAATACCTTTAGTGTGATGTGTGAGAGAGGCATTTATGCTAAGTTGATCAGTTTATGTCTATTTATGCCTGGCATGCAATGCAGTTGGATTCACTGTACTGTACTGAACCTGTAGCTGTGTGATAACAAGGATTGAATTAGGTCTCTCATGCACTGCTAGATGAAAATGAACAGCGTGAACATGTACGGTAATGTTTCCTTTAATGCGATGGTTCCGAACCAAGGAGACTCTGTACACTTCCAAGCTGCAAGATGAGTTTTATTTAAAATATTTAAAATAAGTTGTATCGAAATGATCCAACTTTACTAAAAAGCTAAAAAACAAGATCTAGGATATGTAAATTGAAATCATATTTTAACTTTACTGAAAATGCACAGCTGAGCTCTCTCTCTCTCTCTCTCTCTACATAGATTTCTGTGTGAGTTTCTTTCAGCAATCATTTTAGCAGTGATACTTTAGCATGCTAGCATTTTAGCATGGTAAAGCCCTCTCTGAAAAAAAAAATGTTATGCAGAACCCATATGTTTGCATCTGAGATCTTATGGAGGGATTTAAGTATATTATATTCAGCATAGTCTGTCTGATTTTTCATGGTGTGGAATTAACTCCCGGGTGTCTGTCAGAATACTGCAGATGGATGCTTTAATAAATTGTTTTAGCACAATGAAGACTCAAAAGACTGTTGGGTGCAGTAAACTAGGTGTTGGGTGCAGTAAACTAGGTGTTGGGCACAGACAATATTTCTGATCTAACAGTTGGGAAATCATGGGAAATCCCATGAGCCCAGCGCTGAGATTACATTGAAGCATATCATTCTGCATCCGGGATGCGCATAAGTGGTTTTGTGCCGCTGTGTATTGAACCATTCTCATGAGGACTTTGGTAGCTTTGTTCAATACAAGGTTATAGTTATTTGTTGACTGGCCTTATTAAAGAGCTGCACTTACTGTACAGTAGTGTCTGAAACATGTCTGATTGGGGTCTGGTAGGGATGATGCAGGCGTATTGTATAGAGTTTCCTGAACACAGACGCTGTACTTGTTTAGACAACCAACTGATAATCAATTATGAAAATATGGAGTTTTAATTCCACAGCTGCCCACTCCTGTACACACTGTCCCGTACAATTAATTTCTTCCTGCTTGCCTAAAGTCCCATTACTGGCATCTTTTTATTTATTGTATTGGCACTTAGCATAACCAAATTAATTTGTCAAGTGTACATAAAGCTGTTCATTCTTTTCAGCACATTTAATATCAAAAAGATCCGTTGCATATTGGTAACACTTTACAAAAAAAGTCTTATTTGTTAACATGAACTGAGCAATATATTTTTATAGCACATATTAACCTTAGTTAATGTTAGTTAATAAAAATAAAGTTGTTCATTGCTTGTTCATGTTAGTTCACAGTGTATTAACATTAATGTTTACAGATACAACTTTTGATTTCGAAAAGGAGTTAGTAAATGTAGAAATTAACATTAAGATTAATAAATGCTGTGGAAAATTGTTCATTGCTCATTAATGTTAACACATTAAACCTAAAGTGCAAAGTGTTACCCATATAATATTTGTTTTAGCCTAATTTTACCTCTTTGAAGAGTATTTCGGAACCAGCTAATATATGAACGGAAATGTTTTTAAAAATGTATTAGTATTACTAGATATTAGATATTTAATTATGCATGCTTATTTTACCCTTTTTTGCATTTGGATTACATTTGCCATCGTCTAATTCTCACTTAAAATACATTTTTAATAACGGTAATAGTTTTAAATAGTACAATTTTATTTAAATCTTCAGAAAATGTCAAAATAAATATCAGTTTTTCATACTGTACATTATATTGTCGTGATGCATAAATTCACTTGCAGCATTTAAAATGCATGTTTTTTTGTATCAAATTTTAATATCAGACGTTTATTGGTTATCAGCCATAACAAAATTATTGAACACTGGTGCATCCCTATGCAAGATACGTAATTATTTTTTATTAATTTGTTTAATTTATTTATTTTTATTAAACATGCATGGCTGGATTTCATGCTAAAATGTCATCAAAGAGGGGGCTTGAATATTGTCTTTGACAACTTGAGGCCTTTGCTCTGATATATCTGTTGCCTTTGAAAAGCAGAAGGGATATCGCTGGCTGTGCAGCAGCTGCGTGATCCTGTAAGAGAGACTGATGCTCCTCACCGTCTCCTGCATGTGAAGGGGTGTAGAGAACTGCATATGGACCGTGAGCCAGGCAACAGCTTGGTCTTGCCTGGTTGAGTGGTCCCTGGTCGTCGCATTGTTTCAGAAAAATACCCCTCCCACTTCCGCTTTGGCCCATACGCCAACCCCTCTTGTACGTGTTCATGTTCCGCCTCACTGAAAATATGATCTATCAGGTTTAGGCAGTGAGATAAAGCATGATGTTTTAATTCTTGCAAACACTGTCACCTCACATTCAACGGCTGGGAAAGCCCTGGTGAGCAATACCGCCTGACAAATGCGCTTTAGCCTCTTGTCTGTGCTTCGGCAGGCTTTCCTGTCTGTCGTCCTCCAGCACAGCTGCCTTTATCTGTTATCAGCTCTTGGCCCCAGAAACGTGATCATTCAGGAAAGCCAAATCTAGTTCGGCTTCCATTGTTCATGTCGTGGTGTAATGCTGGAAGTCTGCGTTTCGAGGCA